AGCGAAGAGCAGGTCAAGCGAGACTCTCAGCCTCATAAGCCGACCCAGCAGCCGGCCCCCAAGCAGCCAGAACCACAGCCACAGCCACAGCCACATCCGCAGCCAGTTGTGGTCCATACGGAAGACCATTCCACCCACACGCATCACACAAGCGACTCTACTCATCAAGAGACGACTTCGAACGAGGATAAGGACGGTAAAATCACCAAGTATACTTCCAGCACCAAGTCACATTCCTCCTCCTCGTCTTCCTCGTACAGCCATTCCATGAACGTGTTCCGTTACGTGATCAGCGGCAATACGGAGAAGTCGGACAATGCCGCCCCTTTTGCCAACGGCCAGGTCCAGTGGACGCGCTCACCAGCCCCTGACGCCTTAGTATCGGTCAGCCCAGCCGTTGGTCAGCCGTTGAGTCGTCCAGCCAAGGCCGAGACTTGCAATCGTCGCTTCCCCTTCAACAATCAGCAATACACAGCTAACGACAAGGACAACCGCTTCGCCACGCCATTCCCTCAGGAGGCTCTGGACCCTGTCTCCAAGACCGCGCTCGATCTGCACAATGCTGAGCGAGAACGCTATGGCCTGCAGCCTCTGCAGTGGAACGTGGAGCTCGCCAACATGGCGGCCTGCTGGGCTGATCTCAAGGCATATGGTCACTCTGAAGATCACTTTTGCGCTTCAGGAGAGAATATTGCCATGGGACTCGGCGATCCTTGTTACAGCAATCCTATGGAAGGCATGAAGAACGCAGTCATGTCTTTCCTTGACGAGGATCGCAACTGGGCTCGAAACCCTCATCTCGCCGAGAATGACGGTCACTGGACTCAGATTGTGTGGAAGGACACTCGCTTTGTCGGTTGTGCCGTCTCTCAACGCAAGGACTTTATGGAAGGCTACAGTCCGAACGACAACAGGGCCTCGATGTACGTTGTCTGCGAGTACTACCCACCAGGCAACGTGGTGGGTCACTTTGACAAGCAAGTGCCAGCAGTCCGTCCTATGCCACAGCTCCGCTCCACCTGCTCGGCCAACGAGAGGCATGGTAGTTAATCAAATGAGACCCACCGACCCGACCAGCGCCAACCCCCCCCCCCCCCCCCTTCTTCACTAGGGACACCATACTCTGCCTTCCTCGAGGACTGTCCTTAATATCCGCTTCTGTCAAGCCACTCTTTGAGCGCCCTTTGCGTCATTTCTGCTTTGAGTCATGGTTCATGAATCGGCTTGACCGCTCTCCAACAAACACTCCTTTTTCTGTCATTCTTTTGCACCGCATCGTTTTCCGTTCCCCGTCCCGTGTCTTTTTGGTTTGACCTTTCAGGTGCCGGCACCTCCATTTATCTTCTTTCACGTCGTCTGGTACGAATACGAGCTTCATTCTGTGTAGACGAAAGAAGTGTGTGTGTGTGCTTTGCTTTGCGCTGTGAGGCTCGTTGATCGTTGGCCTTCGAGGCACAGACGTGCAGATAAGGGATTATATGTGCTAATGTTGGAAGATTTTTGCAACAATTCCATCCCGGCTAGCTCAGTCGGTAGAGCGTCAGACTCTTACTTACAAGGGTTTCCGAGTTTATCTCGGAGTTCATCTGAATGTCGTGGGTTCGAGCCCCACGTTGGGAGATCTTTTTTTGTTGCTGCTGCTGCTGCTGCTGCTGCTTTAATGTTGTACTGTACAGTCACAGAACAGTTTTTCTTACAGTCGCGTCGAGAAGGTCTCGCTCGCGTCATCGATTTTTGTGGCCCTCTTGGACATCTTCACCGGGAGCGGCTGCAGTCTGGCTTTTTTCCGACTTGGACTGGACCCTGAAATTTCTTGTTTGCCTGACATCAAAGAGCAAAGGCAACCTTATTCTTACTAACTATCAACAAAGACATCTAAACCCTCTACAGCATCGCACAACGGCCATCGCACAGCGCACATGCGGTCATTGACCGGTGGAGATAGCCTGCTTGCGACCAAGCTACGTCTTTTTCTCTGCTGATGCGCTAATCTTTCGAGGGCCTCGCTCGCGGTGGCGTCACTCATAGCCGCCGCAACACATCTCGTCATGCGCGTCTCTCCAGTAATACATGGGATACGCGGCATCTTCCCACTAGTGCGAGCACTGGCACCACAAGCCATCTCACCATCTTTCGCACTTCCAGCACTCCGAGGACTGCGCCTTGCCATCGATGCGACGCTGCTAGTGCAGCGTCTTCATTTTGCCGACGATCCGCATCCATCTCGCCATGTCATTGGCTTCTACCGGCTCATCACTTCCTTGCGCCAGCATGGCGTGGTACCGATCATGGTCTTTGATCATCCGCAAAAACGACTTGCCCTCAAGGATCGTGAACAGGTCAAACGTAGACACAAACGCGAACTCGACCGCGTACGAAGCCGGTTAGAGCACGAACGACGTGGACGTTTGCAGGAGCTTCAAGCGCATCTTGACGCCTTGTCCGAGCTGCCAGAGTCCGAGCGACGCCAAGTGGGACAAACGCTGGATGAGTGGCGTATGCAAGCACATCAGGCCCTGTCTGAGCAGCTGAGCCAGCCGTCCACCTCATCCACTCTGCCGATATCCTCGACCCTCTCCTTGGCTCCACCACTGCTTCCGCCCACACCTACCAAGGCGCAGACCGTAGCCTACAGCATGCATACCAACTGGCTGCAGCTCGAAGAGAGTCTGCGTAGCGGTGGCGCCAGTCAGTCCAAAGGCCAAAAGATACTAGCTGAAGCTGAACAGCAGGTCTACAAGACCATCGCCACTCAACTCATCAAGGGTCAAGCCCCGCTACCGCTACCTCTGCCTCAAGAGGGTGTCGAGACTTCGATCGGGGTTGCATCAATCCAAACCAAACCCTCAGATACCCTATCCTCGCTGAATGCAATGCATCACTCGCTCACCAAGACGTATGATCGCGCCACATCTCCACTCTCCGCATCCATATATCAGGACTGTGCGACGCTTTCGTCGCTCATGGCCGTGCCCGTTTTCTGGACGGGTGACGGCACACGCACCGGCGGAGGCAGGATCCACGAAGCCGAAGCCTATGCAGCCTCGCTGGTCCGATCTGGATTCGCCGACCTTGTCGCTAGTGAAGACAGCGATGTGCTGCTCTACGAAGCGCCGCTCCTGCGTGGGCTTATGGGCGGAGTCCGCAGCCCAGGCATTTTGACTCGCGAAGGTGCCAGAGGCAAGCTCGAGGTCGTCTGCGGCACACGAGTCCGAACTGGCCTCTTTCCCAAGTCTGAGCTGGAAAATCTCATCCAGCTGCACGCAAGCAGCGAGGCAGCCAAACTTGGCCAGGGAACGGCGGAAGTGGATGAATTGTACGATCGTATGACCCGCAGCCTCATGCTCGACTTTGCCCTACTTTGCGGAACCGACTTCAACCGCACAATTCCCGGCATTGGACCCAAAACAGCTCTGCGATTGCTAAAGGAACATGGCAGCATCTCTACCATTCTGCGCAAAGAATCGAAAAAGTTCCACCCTCCGGCTGGACTTAGCATCAGAGAGTACGAGACGGAGCTGAGACACGCTCGAACAGTGTTCCTTCAGCCTCCGAAAGTAAGGGCCGCTGCACGATCTATACTGGGCACAGCGGCTTCGGAAGCGGCGGCTGAAGCTGTGGCTCAGCGGGCGACATCTGCGGCTGTTGAGCAGGTTTTGTTCTCCCATGATGCGGATGGTATAGAGTCTGCCGTAGCTGAGATAGGTGAGGATGCTGGAGCTGGAGTTGGAGCATCTGCTGATGCGGAAGCTGTTGATGCTACGTATTGCACTGCAGAAAGTGGGGTTGAGATGGACGACGACATTTCCACCGTCTCGAGCAATAGCATCACCATCGCCACTTCAGTCACCCCTTACGTCCCCCAAGAAATGACCTACGACCGTCAAAAAGTGCACGACTTTCTACGAAGTCACAACGTCTTCCGTACCTCCTCCTCCTCATCTTCAGACTCAATGTCACCACTCGAAGAATTCGACTACCACCAAAACACACCTTCAAGAGAACAGGAATGGCGTGATTTGCTCGATCTCGAATTGGGTCTCACCTCCTCAACCAGCGGCGATCCTCTTTCAAAAAGGGACACCATTCTCGAGCAAGAAAACACAGACGGCAGTGATGCAAGCGCGGCAACGTTGGGAATAGATTTCTTTGGCGAACGAAAAGCTGTTGCTTGTTGGAAACCAAATATGGAACAACAAATCAGAGAGGAGACGTCTGCTCCGCCACAAACCCCTGCTTAGCCATACTTGTTAGCAAAGAAGAAGAAAAAATTCTTTTCCAGAAATACAGTATGCCTAATACCCAATGTGGTACTGCTGTGTGCCTGTAAGGCAGGCACTTGAGCTGGGAGAGAGAGGCGACATGTGTGAGAGAGCAGCAAACAAGAAAAGAACAGTCGACCGTGCTCAGAAACAGCAAAAGCAAAAAAGAAATGATTTCTGCCGGGTTCGAACCGGCGACCTCCTCCGTAAGCCCTAACGATCTGAACAGATCAGAATTGTTAAGGAGACGCGCTAACCAACTGCGCCAAGAAACCATTGATGTCTGCATTCCATATTATTGCCATCATATACAGATCACAACATAGCATGTAATGATGGGTGGCACAACCAGGTAGACATCTTTGGTCATGGTTCTAGTCTTTGTATTTCGTTGCACGCTTTTTTGCCCGACAACGAGCTCTGGTCTGCCGCTTGGGAGAATCGGGATCACCGGACGAAGACATCTTTCTGCATGCACACAGAGATCTAGCAGAATTCGGATTGTGGAAAGTCATCCACCGGATTTGAAGGGGAGGGGGCCTTCTGGGAGTGAAGTAACAAAGCTCGTTGAAGCAGTATGGCTTCCCAAAAGCAAAAACGGCAACCCCTTGAAAACAAGAAAAAGAAGGAGAAAAAAAAAAAGAAAAAAAAGATGGAAAGATAAAGATAGAGGGAAAAAAAGATAAAAAGGGGCAAAAAAAAAAGAGAAAGGTAAAAAAAGAGAAAAAAGAAAGTAAACTCCCAATAGGGGGCTCGAACCCCTGACATTCAGATAATGACTCGTTTCGAGCTAATGCTCGAAGACTTTGTGTTAAAAGTCTGACGCTCTACCGACTGAGCTAATCGGGATGGAGATGTCTGCTTTTGCGAAGGACTCTAAAGTGATGAGATATATAGCATCAAAAAGGATCGCCACGCTGCACAGCTCGAAGCAGGAATGTTGATACAGTACAGTACAGTACAGTACAGTATAGCACAGCGAGAATGGCTTCAGAAGAGGGGTCGATTCATACTCTTCGAGAAGTTGGTGTGTGCTACCTGTTGTGGAGAAGCGACTGTACAGTAGCTAAGTTGGAAGAAGTGTGCAAGAGGGTTGTACCGAGCTGGTTGGTTGTGGCAAGGTGAGGTGGGGGCTTCTTGCAATTTTCAACAAGTCTGTCGCCAATAAGTTGCAGCATGTACTGTACTGTAAAGGACAGCAGGTCGCCTTTCACCAAAGCTCATCAATCAATTCAGAATGCTCGACAAGACACTGGCATACCATATGTGATATGGACACGGTGCGGCTCAGGATTGGTGCAACTCACTCTCCAGACCGAGAGCGAGAGACCGAGCATGAGCATGATAGCAGCAAGATGACGAAAAGAACAAGATTCAGAGCAACGAAAAGAGGATATATGTACGTGTGTCTATGTACATGTGTGCACTACACATGTATCGTAGCGCAAGGAAAGCAGCGCTACGGCCAAGTAAGAGGAAAAAAAATCGTCGACAGATTTCAGAGGCGATCATCACTGCTTTGCTAGTATGAAGAGCACGCGCGAAAAACCAGAGAAGAGGATGTGGTGAAAGAGGAAAGATTAGGCCTTCTGCTGAAGCTGGAGATTCCTGTGCAACTCGGTCTTGACTTCGACGACACGGTCGAGAAGCTTGGTAATGACTTGTTCACGGTTGGACTCAAAGGCCTTGTTAAGCTCTTGAAGCTTTTCTTCGGTCTCCTTGTCTACGGTGGTCTGCGAGCTGGAGGTGGAGCCCTCGTGCTGTTTCGAGTGACAATGCGGCAAGGAGGAATGGAAGAGTGGAACCGAGGTCAGCGATGATATTCGATTCAGCGGGTAGAGCGGCAATGTAATGAGACCTGTGACGTACCTCCTTCTGGAAGTCGGAGAACTCCTTCTCCTTGTTGGCCTTGAGCTGCTCAATCTCTTTTGATGCCTCGTTACGCGCGTCCTTGAGCTTCTGGGTTCGGTCTGTAGAACGTTGTTAGTCGAAAACGGGTAATATGACAAGATTCAAGGTAAAGTCAGTATCTTGACGACGATAAAGTTTCCAATGGATGTGGCTGTAGCAGCGACCAGGAGATGGTAGGTGACTGCCTTAAACTGGGACAGACACTTACAAGTTCGTGCCTTCTGGACGATCTTTGCGGCCTCCTTCTCAGCCTCGAGGAGGGTTTGGATACCCTGTGATTGTTGTGCAGCCTGTGTGTAGTGAGATTGCGAGTTCAAGAGGTGTGAGGAGATAAGAGGTGAGTGGAAGTTGCTTGAGATTCTTCAAGCAGCATGTGCGACTGAAATGGCGATCATCGTGGTGAGCCTCGTCTGAGGCACGCAGAAGGCGTCGATGCTTACCATGATGTCCAAGCAGCTGTGAAAGAATATGTGTCAAAGGTGGTGTTGGTGGCTCTCTATGAATGCGATGATTGCCAAGAAGGGTGGAGGACGAGATGATTTGGGCGATGGGAATGTGCAAGTTGCGAGGTTGAGGGGCACACAGCTGCAAGTGCGACACGGCTCATGTTGGCTTTGCTTGGCTTGGTTTGGGTTTGTGTGCATCCGTGCGCTTGGCTCCCGATTTTTGTGATGAGTTGCCCGATCTTAAATTAAGCCTCGCGTGAGTCTTTGTTTCCCACACTCTTCATTTTGGCCGCTTCTGTCAGCCGTTGCAGCCCAACGACACATGTGCGGGTGAACAAGATGCTTGATGTTGTCGCACTGCTCGATTCAAAAACCTAGGTGAACTGTGTGTGTGCGTTGTAACACATGAGCATGTGACAAAGTTCCGCTGTAACTTGACTCGGATGGCGACATGGCAGACCAAAAAACAAAAAACAAGAAAGAGGATCGCCGCTGCGGAGAGGAGAAAAGGGAAGCAAGCAAACAAACGTCACGCGACGGAGAAGGCCAAGTTTGACTGTTCACAGACCACAGCCCAAAATTGTGGATCTCGAAGCCGATTGATTGATTGATTCACTTGCAGATTCCATCAAATCCAGCTCAGCCTCTCACTCCTTCCAACCTCGTACTACTCGATACGTACAGTACAGTACACTCTCTTGTCATCTTCCACCATCCTCGTTCCCTCTTCCCACACCTTCATTTGTGCTTGTTTGCTGCCTGCTTCATCGACAAGCACATCGCCGCTTTGCTCGGTGCTACCAACAGTCAGATCACAACCGCGGTCTTGTTCACTTCTCGAATCGCATTCAGTCGTCGAACATCCGGAATATCATCACACACACTCTCTCGACAAGAGTGCTTGCACAGTTACAGCGACCACAGAATATCCCACACGGCTCACACCGTACCGCACCGCCATACCAACACCTGGCACCGATGCTCTTCCAAATCTGACTGCGTTCAACCCACACACCTTTTGGCTGTAGTCGCATCTTGCCGACTCTCGAATACAGAGCGGCACCACACATCAGCCACATATCATTGGCCCGAGCGCTTCTTCACATTCCCTCAACCGTACCATTCGACCAGCTGATAGCATACTATATAACCTACCATGGCGGCTCCCGCCAACACCGACGCGCTCGGTCTGCTGAGTGCAGCGCTCAACTCGTCCGAAAAGCAAGATGAAGCTCGCCATCTCTCAGAGCTCTACGATCTCTTGAAAGTGCAGCCAGGTAACATTCCTATCCTTCTACCCTCGCTCATCTCCCTCTTACCAAAAGCAGCCACTTCATTACGAACATGGATCGCCCAAGTCATGGACCTCGCATTCTGTCGACCCGCCCTCTCGCAAGATACAAAAGCAACCCTAGCAATACACGCTCCCGAAGCCATACTCTTGCTCATCAAAGATCGCGACCCTCGTCTCACCAAGATTGCTTCACAATGCTTTGCCAGCATGTATCCCGTCCTCTTTCGTCTCGTCTGCAACGATCGCGCAAAGTCAAATCTATGGCAAACCGTACAGGCCATCAAAGCGCAAGTCGTATACCTCTTCGACCACGGCAGCCAGGGAACAAAGCTCGCCGTCATCAAGTGCTATCAGCGTATCGTCCAGGTTCAGTCCCGCGCCTCCACCGATCCTCGCGCACAGCTCAAGAACGACATCAGCCTCAATGTCCTTCCCTCTTCCCATCCTTTCCTCACTGCCGCCAACCTCGAGGAAGAGGGAAATCGCCTCTTTGCACAGATCATCACCTTGATTTTCACCAGCGACGTCACCGATCTCATCATGGCCTCCGTCAACTCACTCACCGTACTCGCCAAATCACGCCCCCAACTCGGCTCCGTCATCCTCCGCGCCATGGCCACATGGACTCCCGCCAGCCTTGGCAACCTCTCACATACCCAAACACGAAACGTTGAAAAGACCGTCCGCGTCTTTTACCTCCACTTTGTCCGCAACCAGCTCGCAGGGCCAGAGTCAAGCTCACTCCAAAAAGCACTCGAAGCACAGCAGCATCGTATGGAGGAAGCCGCCAGGGCATATCAAGCCGACAAGGAGGCTGAAGCCAAGCGCAAGCGCCATAGGATCGACGAGGAGCTTCAGGGTCCCAAAAAAATCAAGCTCGAGCAACATCAGCCCGAAGCTACGCCAAACACATCCACCGCACAGCAAGGCGACCCGGCAGCAGGCCAGGCTTTCCTCAACGCCTCTGTCAGGACAACCGGCGGTGTCGAGCGCAACCCGTTGGCCGCTTTCGATGTCAAGACCCTCCCCATTGCTCTTGTCATCGATCTCATCATCGCCAACCTGCAAGCCCTCTCTGAGCACGATCTTCACGCTGCTATCGCCAACATGCGCGCCAACCTCCCTCCAGATGCCTCCACTTCGGCCCCGCCACCAGAAGCTCCAGCGGCTAACGCACCCTTGGCACCACCACCACCGCCCCCTGGTCCTGCTCCAGGTCCACCGCCGCCGCCGCGACCGCCGACGACGATGGAATCGGCCCAGCTCAATGGCGACGGCACACCACAGGGCGTCAAAACTGAAAACGGACAGGACGACAACATGGCCGGTGGTGCAGGTGAGCATGTCGTGCAAGATCCGCTTCAGATGGACATGGCAGAAGAAGACTTGGAAGCGTTAGAGGCGAGCGGCCGAGAACGAGACGTCAGGACCAGTGCACAAGATCAGGAAGAGCAAGAGGAGGAGGAGGAGGAGCTCTCTTTGGCTGTCATCGAGAACTTTGCACTCGCCCCTCCAGAGTATCTCTCGATCAGCGAGTCCGACTCGCTTATCAAGGACACCATCACGAGGATATGTGAATTAGGTTCATCTGCGTCCTCTGCTCTCGCAGCAACGTCGCAATCCGAGTCAGGCACACAAGCGCTCTGGTCTTCGTTGGTCATCCGTCTCGCAACGCGTGGCTTTGCTGAACCTCCTGTCGACCCCGAAGCAACATACGACGAACCCGAAACCAAGATTGTAGGCGGTGTCCAACCTACACGCACCCTATCAGCCCAAGCCGACATCATTCGTTCATTGATGCTCGAGTTCGTCAAGGCCGACTTTGCGCGCAGGACACGATTTGCTGTCACCTGGATGGCTGAGGAATGGTTCTGCGATCGCGTGCGCCGCAAGCAGGCCACCTCGGCCGGCACAACAAACAAAGACCAGTACCCAATCTGGCTCGAAAAGCTTGTCCAGGCTTGGATCCCCAGCATCGACGCCAAGGACCGTTCCCTCGCCAAGTTCCTTGCCGATCTGCCCGAGATCCCACCAACTGTGCTCGATCTCGTGGCTGCACTCAGCAAGGACAAGGTCAAGATGGTCGCGGGCATGTCGACATTGCAAGACATTTGCATCTCGCGCCCCGCGCTTCGGGACCAGTCGGCGGACAAGCTGCTGCAGTTGACAAGAACGAGTGACAGGAGCACGCGAGCTCG